ACAGCTCTACTAAAAACAAGATGCGCTAAATTGAATGCTCTTTTTTTTTTTTCAAAGACTATACCAGAACTATGTGAAAACAAATATATATCTTTTATTTTATTTTTTGGTACCAGGGATCAAACTCGGGCAAGGCAGGCAGTAAAACCACTGAGCTAAATCCCTGGCCCTGAAAATAAATATAAAAGTGAGCCATTTTGTGGCAAACTCTAGAGGCGAGGTGAACGCTAATCTTCACAGTCATGGTGGGTCTGGAGGGAGGGGAAACGCTGTGTGCATCTTACAGGTGAGAAGAGAGGGTGTAGAAATCACCTTGACTGGCAAGAAGCACAACCTGAACCTGGCTTCTCCCAGGCTCAAGGCCAGCCGGAGAGTCGCTGGCGTGATTTTTCGAGGGGGGTCCTACACTGTGGCACCTGGGTTGTCCTGCGATTTGAACGTAGCCCCTTCTGGGAGGTGGGCTATGTACTTTTTATCGTTCACACCGGTGGGCATGTGTTGTAGTCAGGGGGCCTTAGATAGAAGATGCAAACAATCCAAGGCCCCTCGTTGGTGAAAGTGACTGACGTCTAGGTTTGCTGTGCCAGGCGCTTCTCCAAGTGTCACCGTCTCCAGGGACCAGGACGAGGTGAGCGCAGGTGGGGAGGAAGGGCTTGTGTTCCGAACTCACCTTAGTGGGCAGATAACACCTAAGCAACAGAGCAGAAACTGTTGAAAATTGGGTCTCAATGAGGCTGATGTGAGCCTTCAGTAAGGCCTGTTGTACCCCACAAATGTATACATTTGTCAATGAAAAATAAAATTATTTTGCTCTTTTTTTTGTGACACTGGGGATTGAACCCAGGGCACTCTGCCACTGAGCTATATCTGAACCCTTTTTAATTTTATTCTAAGGAAAAGGTCTCCCTATTTTGACCCTGTGTCAAAATAAAACAAAAAAGGGCTGTGGACATAGCTCAGTGTGAAGGCCCTGTGTTCCATCCCCAGGACAGGCTGGGGGGAGACCGTCACACGCACTTCTGAAGGAACCCTGCCCCTGCTGCTGTACACCCTCTAGGAGGCACTCTGCCTCCTGGTCCCTAGAACAGCCCGGAACTGGCCACCCACCACGGGTGACGGACAGGGCAGGGACATCCTGGAGACACATCAGGGCCACCGTGGCTCCTGCCAGCATCTACAGGGCAAACCGCAGCCCTGCTGCCTGACCCTGGGAGATTTGAGCTAAGATGACTTTCCATGAATCGGAGCTCCCTCCAGGGTTCTGGCAGGGATGTGTCCCAGATGGGGAGGATGCTGAATTCTGGGGCTCTGTGCCAAGGTTCGACACAGAAAGATGGCTCTCTGGCCGCGCCCCTCCCTGCTCGGCCTGGCAGGACCGGTGCTGAGGGCAGAATCGAGGCAGGGAGCTGGCCCACCTTGGGGGCTTCTTCTCTGGACTGTGGCTACCCCAGGGCTGCCCCAATCCACAGGAGCACACCGTGCTAGTGGTGCACAGCTGGGAACGGGGAGTGGGGACCCTGAGTTTTTCTAGCCACGATCTGGCCCAGTGGTTTCGCCCACCTCCTTTTCAGTATGGGCTCTGCACACCTCCGGTTCAAACTCATGACTTCCAACATGCTAGGCCAGTGTTCAGGAGCTGAGACCCCCAGTCTTGCCCATTGTAACTTTAATTTCAGATAAAACAATCTTTTTAGTATAACTATGTCCTGTGAAATATTTGGGGCATATTTCACTTAAAATGCATTCACTGTTTATCTGAAATTCAAATGGATGTCTGCATTGTGTAGTCTTGATCCGGAGAGTTCGAAACCAGCCTGAACGACGCAGCAAGACCATGTCTCAAAGAAAGCCACCCCCTCCCAAGGCCAGGGACAGTGGTGCACATTCAGAATCTCAGCTGCTTTGGCAACTAAAGCAGAAGGATTACAAGTTCGAGCCCAGCCTTAGCAACCTAGCAAGACCCTGTCTCAAAATAAAAAATAAAAAGGCCTGGGGATGTAATGTTATGGTAGGGTGTTCTTGGGTCCCATCCCTCATACCAAAACATCAAAAAGAGATGATTCACATAAATGAAATTTTATATAACACACACAGTTCACCATTTTAAAGCACACAGTTCAGTATTTTTTAGTATATTCGCAAGGTTGTCTAATTGTCACTACTATCCACTTCCAGAACATTTTGATCACCCCAAAAGGAACCCTATACCTATTAGTCAGTTCCCATTCCTGCTTCCCCACTGCCTCTGAAAACCACTAATCTACCTTCTGTCTCTGTGGATTTGCCTATTCTGGACATTTCTTTTTTTCTTTTTGGTTTTTGAGACAGGGTCTCACTGTGTAGTTGAGACTGACCTGGAACTCACTATGTAGCTCAGGCTGGTCTCAAACTCACAGCAATCCTCCTGACTCAGCCTCCTGAGTGCTGGGACTACAGGTGTGCGCCACCAGGCCTGGCTGGACATTTCATAACATGAAATCATACAATAGGCTTTTGTCTCTGGTTTCTTTCACTTAACATGTTTTCAAGGTTCAGGCTGGTAGTATATCTTCATCTCTTTTTATTACTGAATAATACTCCATTGTACGACTATATCACTTTTTTTTTTTTTTTTTTTTTTTTTTTTGTACTGGGGATTGAACTCAGGACCTTGCACTTGCAAGGCAGGTGGTGGAACCACTGAGCTAAATCCCCAGCCCAACTATATCACATTTTATTGTCCATTCATCAGTTAATAGGTGTTGGATGATTCCACTGTCAGTTACTAGGCATGATGCATAAATACTTGTGCACATTTGTGTGGGACCCTTGTTTCTTGTTCTCTTATACCTAGAAGTAGAATTGCCAGGTCACACGGTGACTCTAGGTTTGATACTTTTTTACTTGGTTTGTAGGGTTTTTGGGGTTTTTTTTGGTGGTACTGGGAATCAAACTCGGGTCCTTGCACTTTCGAGGCAGGCTCTGGAACCACTGAGCTAAATCCCCAGCCCTGTTACTTGGTTTGTTTGTTGAGACATGGCCTCACAATGTAGCCTAGGCTGGTCTTGAACTTACAGTCCTCCTGCTTCAGCCTCCTGAGTGTTGGGATTATATCATGTGTAACTTAGGTTTAACTTTTTGAACTGTAAAACTGCTTTCCACAACAGTGAACCATTTACATCCACAGCAGCAGTATATGCAGCCTCCAATTTCTCCACGCACTCACCAACACTCATAACCCCTTGAGATAATTCTTCTACCCATCCTGCTGGGTGCATGGTGGTAACTCCTGATTTTAATTTTCATTCCCTTAATGGCCAATAATGTTGAGCACCTTTTCATGTGTAATTGGCCAGTTGCATATTTTCTGCAGAGAAATGTCTGCTCAAATCCTGTGCCCATATCAAAATTTGTTTGTCTTTTTATTGTTGAACTGTATGAGTTCTTTATGTATTGTAGATACTAATCCCTTATCAGATCCTGTGTATGATCTGTATAAGTATCTTCTCCCATTCTGAGGATTTTCTTTTTACTTTATTGATAGTGTCCTTTGGACAAAATTTAAAATTTTTGATGAAGTCAAATTTATCTATGTTTCTTTGGTTACTTGAGTTATGGGTACTAACTTCTTAAACCTTTCCAACAATCATATGGTTGTGATTAGCATCCCTATTTTTCAGATGAGAAACTGAGGCAGATAAAGGCTAAGTACCTCACCCAAAGCAAGGATCTGAACTCAGGGTCCACACTGCAGGACCCCAGGTGGGAATCATTCAGTTTCTGTGCTGACCTCTCTCTCACTCTCTCTCTCTCTTTCTTTCTAGACAGGGTCTTACTATGTCACCCATGTTGGCCTCAAACTCTTGATCTTCCTGCCTCAGCCTCCAGAGTGCTTAAATTACAGGTGTGTGCCACCACACCCATCTTTGTTCACAAATATTAATCTGAAGGGTTCATGCTTGGTGGGGACTGAGTGCCCGACTGTGCCCTGCCCACCAGGCCCCCGCCCGGGGGGACATCAACAGAGGAGGGCAAAGGTGAGTGAAGGAAAGCCACACTCTGTGTCCCGAGTACCAGGGGTCTGGGAAGCTATGGGCAGAGACTGCCCAGATGGATCAGCCACTTAGGAATGGAGCCACTCCCACCAGGCCTGCAGGGGGCAGGCAAGGACTCACCGGCGGCCGGGCCAGTCCAGTGACACACTCTCACAGCGACACACCCTCACCCGCTAACAGCCACCCAGCAGGCAACACACGCTACTCAGAGCCAGGAAGAAAAATTTCCAGGAGCCCGGAGCTCTGCGGTGACACGTTTCAGCGTCACAGGGAAATGACAGGTGTCCCTCTTTCCTGGCTGAGGCATGCAGTTTCTGTTGGGTACCTGCGTTCTCCAGGGCCAGCATGCACAGGGAACTGTGAAGCAACTAAGAACGCACCACACCAAATATGCCACCCTGGCACAGGGACTCTTCCGAGTTAAAAGTACTCAAAAAATAGATGCAAAATCACTTTGACCTTTTTCTTTCCTTTTTTGTAGTACTGGGGATTGAATCCAACCCTTCACACTGACCCAGCTCCCCGGCCCTTTTTTATTTTGAGACAGGGTCCCAGGCAGTTGCTAAATTGCGTAGGCTGTGTTCAATTTTGCAGTCGTCCTGCCTCAGCCTTCCAGAGTGTTGAGCTCACAGGTGTGTACCATCACACCCCGAGTTGACCTCCTGTCTTTTTTTCTTTCTGGCCTTCTTAAAAGCCATAGATGAAGGGCCAGGGATGTAGTTCAGTGGTAAAGTATGTGCTCAGCATGGACAAGGACCTGCGTTTGAGTCCCAGAACCCCATGCCCCCCCCCAAAAAAGGAAAAGTAGATGAAATTCCCATGTGAATGACGTCCTCTGCACACCAACACAACAGGACCAGTTGCATCACCGAGGCTGGGCAATTGAGGCTGAGGGAAATCTGCACAAACAAACCTATTAAATGAACATTCACCTTCCTAGTTAATGATCATGCTAGGGCCCCCTACCTTGTCCCATTTGCAAAATTTCCAACTGTTTGTCCACCTTTAGGCACGCCCTGCACATCTGGTGCTGAAACTGCTCACAGGTAAGCTTTAAAAAAAAAAAAAAAAAGACAGTTTTCGATTCCCAGAGGCAGAGATCTGGATTCTGCAGGAGCTCGGCGGGGAGGGGGAGCATGAGCTTGCGCGGACAGCACTTCCGCTGCATGGACTCTCGGGAGGGCTGGTTCAATCCCAGTGGAGAAAACCGGAAGTCCGAAGGGGGACTTCCTGCCTCATCGTACAGGAGGGAAGAAGCACTGAAGGTGAAGACCCAGGTGGACGGGGCGTCCCCCCTTTCCACCCCCGTGTTAGATGTTAGAGGCCTCCACTGGGAACTAGACGTAGACGCTGGCCGCACCACTGCCCAGAGCTCCGGAGGCGGGGCTTGGGACGGATGGAAAAAGTCTCAGGCGACAGATGGGACTCAGCCTTATAAATATAGATGAAATCTCTAGAAAGCTCACTTCCAAAACAGCAAAAATCCATGAAAGATGAAGAGGGTAGCAAGATGGATGCAGTATTTACAGCCAGTAAGAGTTAACATGCTTGAAACATGTTTATCTATCATCTGTCTGTCTTCCATTCCACTTGATCAAGAAATCACCAGAGCTACAATTGGCTAAATAAGCAAACAACTAAAATGTACACAGAACACAAATATTTGTAAATATTTAATGGACAACATTTAATCTGGTTGGTAAATTTGTCTTTTGGTGGTGGGGGTGTCTCAAAACATACTTCAGGACAACCTTGAACTCAGGCTCCTCCTGCCTCAGCCTTCTGAATGCCAGGATTACAGGTGAGCACCACTGTGCCTGGCTTCACTGTCTCTTAATAACCGCTCCCCCTTTATTAGCCAAGCTCTCATATTATGGGGTAGTATGGGCGAGAGAGCAGCAGTTTAAAACACTGTATTTCCCAGCCTGCCTTGTGGATAAAGGCAGCCAGTGAGAAGCAAGCTGATGTCCCCGGGTAGAGGGACTCTGAGGAAAGCTCTTTAGAGAGGGCTGATTGATCTGGAAGTGAACACAGAGCTGCTTCTCCAGCTTTTCTCCTTCTTGTTGCCTGGAACACAGACATGATGGCTGGAACTCCAAGGCCACAGTAGACCATGTGGAGACCCAGGAGCTGAGGGTGCAGAGCATAAAGTTAGGGGCTTCGGCTCCTAGCACCAAGCACCACAGGTCCTGTGCCAGCACAGAAATGGTACATCCAGACCTCTTTTGTATGACGACAAACAAATTATTTTCTTTAAAAATCAACAAAAGGGGCTGGAGATATAGCTCAGTGCAATGGCCCTGGGTTCAATGCCCAGTTCCAGAAATAAACAGACAAAAATGGCTGGGGATATAGTTCAATGTGAAGATCTTGGGTTCAAGTCCTAGTACAGCAAAGCGCATATGGATATATGTCTATATTCATAATCACATACTACTTCTATAAGCATCTTGGGTTTTTTTGTGTTTGATTTTTTGTTGTTGTTGTTTTTGTTTTTGGCTTTTTGAGATAGGGTCTCACTATGTAGTCCAGTCTGGCCTAGAACTCAGGGCGGTCCTCCTGCCTCAGCCTCCCGACTGCTGGGATTACAGGCTGTGCGCCACCATGCTCAGAAAGCGTGATTTAGAGACCCAGAATACCGAGCCAAGTGCCAGGCCCTCCTCTCCCTCACCCTGAGGCCTCAGGCAGACAGTTCATTTCCATGCCTGTAGAGTGGGTGTGCAGGTAACATGACTTCTCTCAGCAGCTTCTCGCCGAGTTTACATGAGCAAGTGCAGATAAAATCGCTGGCCTGGTGCCCGACTTGTAGCTATTACTGTGCTACATTATGCTACCACACGGGCATGGGTGCCAGCAGAACCAATCAGAAAAGCCCAGGGCATGTTGTCTAGTAAAAAAACAGGTGGCAAAACTGGCGAGTGGGGACTCTTCCTTTTGCGAGGAGTTATTTTTTTACACCCCCACCTATGTCTACGCACCAAGAGACGGTCATCCAAATGTTGGCGCGGTGATTTCTGCAGTAGCAATTTTGCTTTTTCTAAATGAAAAGGAGCATGCAGTTCCTCTTTTTATTTTAAGCAGGAAAAATATTTTTTTAAAAGGGAAACCCTTTGGAAAACAATGGCTCATGCCAAGAACCATGGAGGCCCTCCTGGCCTTTCAGCCAGCTTCTTTCAGGGCAGCAGCCTCCGGAAATAATCCGAATCCAGGAAGAGGTGACAGCCGCAAAAACATTCTCGGCAGCATTATTCATAATAGGAAACATCGTGTAGCCGTGGAAAATGCCTGATGTTAGGGTAATGATTATTAAATTATTCACTCTTTGGAACCTTGTGCAACAATTAAAATGGAAAAGATGATAACTGTGGAGCAATGTGGAAAATTGCTCGTGAAAAATGAGAAGCGAAAGAGCAGAAGGCAAAATTAGAGCTGCGCTGGGCGCTTGGCAAGGATGCAGGGTAGCACTGGGATGAGGGCAGGGAGACCCAGGAAATAGAAACTGCCTTGAAGCCAAAGACCCTGGGGGATTTTCTGTTTCTTCTTCATTTAGAAATCTGTCTAGGGCCGGGGATTTAGCTCAGCGGCACAGCACCTGCCTGGCAAGCATCAGGTCCTGAGATTGAGGCACGTGTGGCACATTTCTTTGCTTTTTTTTTTCTTTCCTGTACCTTGTACTTGGAGAGGTCCTGAGTTTGACCCCCAGTACTGGAAAATAATTGCTTTTCAGATTGGAAAAATTGATGTTTGCTCTTGGTAAACTGTAAGAAAAGAGCCCTAGGGGAGAGAGCTGTCATGGTGCATGTGTCATGGTGCACTGGGGAGGCTGAGGCAGGAGGATCACAAGATCAAGACCAGCCTGGCTATATAGTGAAACCTTGCATCAAAAAACTAAAGAGCAGGACAGTCAAAAAGTTGACAAGGAAAGACGCCACCATATATTAGATAAAATAAGGCAGCTCCAAAGCAAGACACTGGTAAGACTGGTAAGTATGTTCGTTTGCATGTAAGAATTTCTGGAAAGATACACATTGGAGTCTGAAAGTGGGTAATGTCTGAGTGGTTGCTTTAAAATCGTACCCATCGGTTTAGTCTAAATCGTGCTGCACAACCGACCTGGAAATCTCCTGGTTCACAGCAGCCCGTGTTCATTTCTCTCCCGCTGTCTACTGTCGCCGGCTACTCCTCCACCAGTGTCTGACCCAGCCCCATGCTCTTCCTGGCTACTGGGTCAGTCCTGTGGCCTTTCCCAGAGCTCAATCAGGCGGACATGGATCCTCCCACAGGCCCGGGGAGGGGCAGCCTATGTCTGAACTACGCTGCAGTTATTTCATCCTAGGAAAGGGGGAGAAGACAGTTCAATTCTGTCTTGGAAGTGGATGCCTCACAGAGATGGAGCCTGGTAACATGGTTTTCATCATCAGAGCAGTTTAGGAGGGGAAATACACTGACCTCTCGTGGGTACCCACGGGTTCCGGGTTCTGAATCTGCCGGATTCAATGCTTTTGTTGTTGTTTTGAGATAGGGCCTTACTATACAGCTCAGGCCGGCCTTGAACTCGTGATCCTCCTGCCTCAGCCTCCTGCGTACTGAGATTACAAGCATGTGCCACCACGCCTGACGTGATGAAAATATTTGGGAAAAAACTGCATTTGCACTAGACACGTACTTTTTCTTGCTATTATTCCATGAACAATAGAGTCTAACCCCTGTCTGTATAGCACTGGCCCCGTGTTGGGCTCTGTAGGTCGGAGATGACTTGAAGCAAACACACGAGGTAAGGGACTTGAGCACAGATGCAGCTTAGTACCCGAGGGGGATCCTGCAGCCAGTCGCCAGAGGGATGACTGTACAGACACAGAACCCAAGCTGCCCAGCACCGTGTGGGGACAGTAGCTTCAAGCCCAAGGCAGAGGTCAGGATTTTGCCTACTGGAAGAGTCAGGCAAACACCCCTAGCCTCCGTTACTTCCTGTTTTGAGGCATGGACTTGCTAAGTCACTAAATTGCACAGGCTGGATGTGAACCTGGGATTCTCCTGCCTCAGCCTCTCAGAGTGCTGGGATTACAGGCGTGCGCGATTCACATCCTGTTTCAACACCCGTCTGCAAAAGAAAGGACATCAGCTGCCCTGCCTGGGGATGGGGAGGGGGCGGACTGTGGGGAGTTAAAACTGCCAGGGCTCCTCCTGCCCGTGAAGAGTTGGTCCTTCGAGCTGTAACCACACACACACCACCATCCTTGACATCTGCAATCACCTTATCCCCAAAGGGGGCTGTTTACCCCTTTTTTTGTTTTTGTCTTTTGAGACAGGGTCTCACTATGTAGTCCCAGCTGGCCTCAAATTTGCCGCAACCCTCCTGCCTCAGCCTCCCAAATGCCCCCACACCCCTTTTCTTCTGTAGGGCAAATGAGAAGATGACAAGAAAGTCCCAGGATGAAGAAGGAGAACCCCAGCAGCAATGAGCCAGGCTAGGGCTGAGCTATGGAGAGAAGGAGCCCACGCACCCATCAGGCCTGGGAGAAGCCATGAAACCCTCTCCTCCCGCCCCTGCCTTCTCAGTACGACAGGGCGGAGGTGGCACTAATCGGGGCTCCCAACCCGGACTGATCACAGGCCCATTTAGGACACATTTAACAACCGGATTCCACGTCCCTCTCATTCTGACTCACCTGGTGAGGGCGGATCCAGGCTGAGTCAGGAGGCGAACAGTGCCACCCTGAGCAGCCCTCCACACGGGCCACAGGAGAGGGCCATCTCGGGTGGTACGAGCCCTGGCAGCGGGGAGAAACCGGAGCGGGTACTGCCCTGGCCCGAGCTCGCTTCTTGGTATCAAGATCAGGGGAAGGCTCAGGAAGAGGTGTCCCGGGCAGCATGGTCACCTCGCGAGCTGTCCGGGACAGGAGGCGGCGGGGGACACACCCCAGACCCCCAAACCCAGAAGTGGCCTGGACTCCTGCAGCCACCGTGCATCTCACTAGTCTGAGTCCATCTCCTTCCTCACCTGTCAACCTGGCAAGGACTTCCTCCAGGCTGGCACAGGTCTTACTCCCCTCTGTGTGCCCAGCGCAAGGCCTGGCACACCACTGCAGCGGGCTGAATATTTCATGACGAATGGAGAGGGACAGCACTTACTGCGTTACCGTGGGGTCAGAGGAGGCCTGATATTCACACCCCCGGGGCACGCGGGGGAGGCACATGCTCAACTGGGCCGGAGGCTGAGCCACCCTGGCAGGGCTACATTACTCTCCGCACCCTGGCACGCTTTGAAATACTAAGGAATTAGAGGGCTACACAGCCTCTTCCTAGAAAATGTTCTCCCCACCTTGCACACGCACATGCGCACACAGAGAGAAGTGGTCCTTCAAAAATTGGAAGGTTCCTTTCTTTCTTCTTTTCTGTCTCTCTTTCTTCCTGCTACTCTGCCACTGAGCTACATCCTCTTCACCTCATCCTCCTCCTCTAGTAAATTGTTTTATTTTTGAGTCAGGGTCTCATTATACAGTTCAGGCTGGCTTTGAACTCACAGCAATCCTCCTACCTCAGCCACCAGAGTGCTAGGATTACAGGCGTGCGCCATCACACCTTGGTTTCTTTCGGTTTATTTTGAGATAGAATCTAAATTGCCCAGGTGGAACTCAAACTTCAGATCCTACTGCAGTGATGGCGAACCTTTTAGAGACGAGTGCCCAAACTGCAACCCAAAACCCACTTATTTATTGCAAAGTGCCAATTCTACAATGTAACTTGAATAGTGAGGTTTTAGTTTAGAAGGAAAAAAAAACCTCGTACACGAACATCAAAAGAAAAACATAATGTGTGTTATAGGTTCGCCACATCTGTCCAACTGACTCAGACTCCTGAGTGCTGGGATTATAGGCACGTGCCATCACACCCAGCAAAGCTTCTTGTTTTTACAGGGAGAATGCCAGTTACAGAATACAGAAGCAGTGTCAGAGTCAAAACTTAACATTTTGCAAACCCCAATTTAAGAACTGATTTGAGCATCATCAACGGGCAAAGCAGTGCTGAGGAACAGGACATTGGCCTGGTCTCCAGGTATCATGTCACAGATGATAAGCTACTTAATTTCCCGGTACAGTGGAGATTCATAGCATCCACTGCCTTAATCAAGCGATCAAAACTAACATTATTTGTTTGTCTTTAAGACAAGACCTCTTTATGTAGTTCAGGCTGGCTTTGAACTCAATCAGAGTGATCCTCCTGCCTCAGCCTCCTGAGTGCTGTGATGATGACAGGCGTGCTTCACCAC